TCGGAGGCAAAATGAGCAAGGACGCTCATTCGTACATCATTCTAGCGAGAAATAAATGGCCTTTTTAGAAAGTCATGACCCCCATGACCCCCCCCCCTTTGGATACGCCCATGAGTCATTATCAACTCCCACAAGCCTTTACCATAATCCACGTCTCCACCGCCGAAAATTTTGGTGAAACTCGCCACTCCCCGATGGCTAAACAGGTAATAATACACAGGGTGATTGCTGTAGTTTCGATGCAACTGCACGGCTTCATCTGCGCAGTTCAAAAACCATCCGTCGGTGTACATCTGGAACCCCAACCAACATCAGCCCTGCATTTAGCGATCAAGAGCAAACCTACGTTCACCAGCTGCTCCTTCATTGACCAGTCGAGCTTCTTATTATGGAAGTAAAACTCCCGAATTTGCTTGGTCACTTTGCTGATATTCTTGGCTGTTTTATCGTACATGAGACTAATGGGGACGTTTTTCTCAAAGGCGCTTGCCAACTCTTCAAGCAGCGCGTCGTTGTTGAGAACGCCTGCAACCAACAACAGCTGGAATACTGCGAATAGAAGAGGAGTGCAACTCAATACCTGCCGCCCTCAAAGCCCCATCTTGCGAAGTTATTCCCACCACTAGGGGCACATCGGCGCTTTGCCCCGACTTAACAATATCCGTCGGTGAACTGGTAAGGAAGGCGCCTTCCACGTTGGGCTCGATGGTGGGCTTGAACGGGATCATGGGGTCGAAGTCCCATTCCTAAAAAACCCCAAAAAACCTCAAGAAAAACTGAACAATATGAAGCCTTTCACGGCCGATTAAATCACATTTAGGAATGTTTTCCGGGCTTTGAAGCCGTGGTCTATGGGAATTTCTTCCTGACGTTTCGTCCACAACTGCGGTGGACATTATCAAAGGCTTCAAAGCCCGGAAAACATTCCTAACTGTAAACTGAACAATGTTGGATATTCACCATGAAAATAACATCGTGCTTCACAATGTCCATCGCATCGACTTTCCTCAGGCATTCGACCATGTCTTGAGTGGGTTCCTTGGGGCAGTCGAAAGCCTCTGCGAGTTTTTTGGAGTTTTGCACCCCTTCGGTCTTGGGGCTTTGCGCCCAAATGCATAACGAGGTGCCACTCATCGCGATGCCTTTGTGGAATAGGCCTGCAATAGAAGGTGTTGTTAAAAAACTCGAGTTTGCAGCGAGTTGGTTCCTTTGAAAAGACTAATGGTGCTGGTGAACAGCTCAACAGAAACCGAAGTTTGATGTTAAATTTCTCCGGAATCAGCTTCTGGAAGTGGTGGAGTCGCTTTTGTGGACCCTCTTCAGATTCAGCGATAAATGAGGCGTCGTCAACGTAGCAAATAAGATTAATATAATTTTCCTAAGAACGCTCATTTGTACATCATTCTAGAGAGAATTAAATGGCCTTTTTAGAAAGTGAACCATGGATAAGAAAATGTTGGCAGTTTTCTCAAAAAATGCTTGAATTCAAGAAGTTTTTGAGTTGCGTGGTTTTTTTTTTGAGTTGCAAAATCCACTTGAACATGACGCTGCTTTTTTCGAAGTTTCTCAAGAACCATTCGAGCCACTGAATTCGTTTTGGCATCGTTGGATAGAGAATTGAAAAGTCGATTCAGTCGTAACAACGTGAGTGAGGAAATTTGAGTAGTTTTGACCCAGAAAGCGAAATTTGAATATCAACACTTAGGTGCAAGATTATGCCAAAATTCCATGTTTTCCGTCCCGTTTTTGCTCATATCTCGGAGGCAAAATGAGCAAGAACGCTCATTTGTAC